GCCTGTACAATTGGTATGTTTCTGCATGAACAGGAAGAAATATATTATTATTATTATTATTATTATTATTACTAGTTGCCGTCTGTCACGAGCACTGGTTACAAAATTGAAGAAGTCTAGGTGACATGTTAAACATGATCTGGATTTCAGGAATCCATGTTGGTTCGGACTTATAATGTTGCAGCTAAGCATGTATTTGATTAAGTTATCTTTAACTAGTCTCTCCATAATTATAGATGCTATAGGTTTGATATTGGTCGGCCGGTAGTTACTGACTTCTGTTTTCGAGCCAGATTTATGTTTAGGCAATTTATATGTTGTTTTCCATATGTCAGGATAAGTTTGGGTTTCTAAGGACATTGTGAATATTTTAAGCAGCAGTAGAGGAATGTCAGGGCCACCATATTCATAGAAATAAGATGATATACTGTCAGTACCGAAAACTTTTGAGGTTTCTTATAGTTTGGTTAATATTAGCATAAGTGAATTCAACAGTGCTAATTTGGTTTGGTGTGAGTGGAGTTGGAGTTTGTGCCATATTAATAACAGAGTGTATAGCGAGTAGGTGGACTGAAGTCTTTAGGTAGTTACCTGCAAAAGTTTCGTTGAATAGTTCACATATGTCTGCAGAGTTAGTGCATAGCCTACCTTAGTCTATGAGGAGAGAAATGCTGTGATTTTTGCGATTCATTCGCTTCCTTAAGATTTCTGTGAGTGCATACACTCTAGCAGGGCTGGCTACTGCGATGCGTTCTTCCTTTCTCATACGGAAATCTTGAGCTTGTGTGATGGAGCTAAGGGTTTTAAGTATTAGACCTAGAGTGCCAAAGTCGTGGTGTTTGAAGTAACTTGTTGAGAGTTTCTTCAGTTTCTTACGATCCTTTGGTTTTATGAATGACTTTCTGTGTGGGTAAACCTTTAGTGTTTGGAGTGGAATGACAGCATCTAAGCATATGTTTGAGTTATGGTAGAAGATGCTTAAGGCTCTCGATAGGTCATCAGTAGTGAAGTATTCATCCCATTTGGAGGATCTTAGCATCGATTCAACTAAGGCCCAGTTTGCCTTACTATAGTTCCTATATATTACTTGTTGTGAAGTGGAGGTATGAGATGCATTGCTACTCAGCGGAATTGGCAGTGCGCACATTACTGTTTTGTGGTCGCTCCCTGGGAACTCAGAACCTACTAGCGTTGAAAGGGGGCTTATATTGTGGCAGAAGATTATGTCTAGTACGTTATTATCTCTTGTGGGAGTAGTGACAGTTTGTTTCCAGCCGAGTATATCCAGTGTGTCTAAGAACTTATCAAATTTCGTTGGGCCTGTGGGTATATCCCAGTTGATTTCAGGTAAGTTAAATTCTTTTGAAGTATTTTTCTTATGCAGCAGAGTAGAGTAAGTTTTTCCTAATCTTTTGCTACCCGTTGAATCGCAGTGCAATTCGATGCGCAATAGTATATATACGATAAACTGGAAACGGAAATGGTTCCGGTGACTCATTTTGATATGACACTAAATGATATGGTCATGTCAGCGTGTTTGTTGATGTTTCTCTCGTTGGAATTATCAAAGTCATGTAAGACGAGACCTAGAAATGATATTGAGTATTAACAGTATCCTGAGGATCTCCAGCTTCTGCATGCACGGCGGAGGACATACCCTAATATACAGTATGCTGGATCCTATTTGAGTAATGAAAACAAACCCGTCAACTGTCCAGGACCCGTGTTTACACGACCGAAACCTTATTCAGCTGAAGTCATCTAGGTCCTCAATCAACATCAACGATGAATGCCGAATGACCGAAAGCTTAGCACAAAAGTGACAAAGCACAAATCCACTTGTAAAGTAGGAGACGAGTCCCGGATTTAAGAAAAGATTACTGAGAAGTATCTGTATTTCAGTTAGCAAAGAACCAGATCAAGATCTATTCTTGTCACTTTTTGAAAGTTTGGCGATCATTTATCAATGTTTCGCATTTGGTAATGTCTAGACTGTGTCATTTTGACTAGCTTTCATTAGAAGTTTGCAGAGAAGTCCACCTAATTAATTAACCGCATTACATGTAGCACACAAAGGTAATGACATAAAACGAAATGGAAGTTTAACGAGCGAAAATGTGGGGAAAATAAATAGTGACTAGGAAAAACATGAGTTGAATAGATACGTGAGAATGCACAGACTGAATGCATCTTTGCGATGAACAAAGATTTGCGGTCATATCTCTAGTAGTTCATCTAACTGACTCAAAGATTTTATGAACCAATACCAGTTTTACATCTGACCGACCCAAACACATTTTGAACCTTAACATGTTCTGGCTTACATTGTCCCTCGAGGAAAGAGATGGCTTGGTATGCCGACACGCGTTCTAGCCGTCTCAACCTATTCAGCTTTCCTACTTTGAAGACGAACTTACCCTCCTCACCTAACACTTTATGCGTAACCTCAACAGCACTCGCCATATTATAGTGCTTTACTAATGAGATAGAACACAGCAACCTTTAATCAAACACCGGTATTATTTTCACATTTTACAGCATCAGGGGTTACTTCTCATAGTCTAGGTGGACAATATCACCAGCAAACTGTAAGTTGATCAGACTATTCCCTGATAAGTCTCTAAAGTTACTTACAGACTGTGCTAATAATATATGTGTGATTGAATTGAACCGACATGAGGATGACAGTTTAAGAATTCAGCCTTGTGTTACATCCCACTCTGAAATGTGTTTTCTCGGATAATTCGCAAACAGTATTCAGTGGATAGAAAACATTCTGTAGGCCTAATAAAACTCATAAAATGTTGCACTACTTCTGCAGGCAACATAGTGTTTCCTCAATAAAGTGAGAATCGGATATTTTTGCTGCATAAAACGAGTAAGTGGTATCCTGACAGTACCAATGACTACAACAAGTCTATGAATTATGCACTACAACTTTTACTTTACTGAATGCTCCAGCAGATTTTAAATAAACACTTGACAACTGTTAGTTGTTTATCGTCTACGAATTTACATGTACGCGCCAATGCACATACATTGGTAGAATAGAGAGAAGGGCTACTGTCCGCATTTATGAACAAATGCCAAAGAACCTGAGACTGAAATGTCCGCAAGCATTAAACAGTGCGATTGGTTGTCATCTATTGGACACTAGTCATATTGTAGACAACCTGAAGTCGTTCAAAATAATCAACAAGCAAGAGAAACCTAGCTCGCTACGCTTTGCTGAAGCAACTGCCATCAAAAGACATAAACCAAATCTATGTACGCAGAAAGAGACAGTGGTGAAACTTGCACTGTCCTGGTGATAACAAAAAAATATACAACATTCATGAGTCACTTTTTCATGTCTAGAAAATTCTACTCTCTCATCTAAACATGACTCACCCTACCTTGTTTCTTTCCTTCCTTTTTTCTATTGGCTATTAGATAAAATGCTTTCTTTAGTTACGTAATCTGCTTTCTTGCTATGCTCTTTCTAGCTAAACCTTATTTCTATACACACAAATATATACGCAACCCTGTTTTTTGGTTCCAAGCCTAGTTGTCTAATTATTCTGTAAATGGTCAGTGTTTTTAACTCCTAATCAGTCAAATCATACCGGACTTTTGTTACCTTTACTTCCTACCAATTACTCCTTATGATCGTGGAAGAGTATGTTCATATCTTTAATGTAATTCATATATTTTAACGTTCAGGTTGTAACCAGTTGAGAAGAATCCTCGAAATAATGAAAGATGAGCTCATATTATCCTGGTAAATTTGTTGTTCTTGCTTTGTTCAAATTGTAAATTGTTTGAATTTATACAGGAAGTCAGTAAGATTCAGTGAACTAAAAGCACTTTCGGTTTCCACAGGAGTTCTGCATGCCGAATATATTACTTTAAGGGCCAACACAGATTACAACTTCAATTAAATAACACTGATGTGGAAGGACTCCTATTCTAAATTACTAAACTTAATGGAAAGAATCATGTTAAGTAATTCCCGTGTGCTATTAAATTTTCTATTTTGAAAACAGGAGCATTCGTAATTTCTTACTTTATGTAAGTGCAGTTACATACACTTGCACTAATAACTCAGTGAAACTCGCTGCACAATAGTATATGTACGAATAAACTGAAAAATAATGTCCTCCTTACCTTCTGAACAACTTGTCCTTATTCCAGTATAATAACTTTGTTTCACCTATGAGTCTGTCTGTGAAATCGCAATATTACATCAATTAAATCTTCCCCTAAACTCAAAGCCACTACAAACCCATAGCAACGTGGCAACAGGCATCATGGCGGGGGTATGCAGCAGAGCCACTCATTATTGATGGTCAACCCCGGGAGCACCTAGATAGGACTGATAGACTTTATGAAGTCCAACACGGTTCCACGGAAGGCAGATCCTGTGCGAAAGATCTACTATCAGCTCAGGACGATTGGACATCATTCTGGGATGTGAATGTTCCAGTCCATGTGGTCTTCCTTGACTTTGAGAAGGAATTCGACACAGACCACCATCACGTTATCCAACACAAAATAAGCCAGGACTGTGTCGAAATAGCCTATACCCATAAATTCCCATACATCATTCAGGGGTAGACAACTAAATTCGTAGTTTTACTTCTTTACATTCCCTCCCGTCCTACTTTCCTGACAACTGCAACTACTACACTGACACTTATTACTATTACTGACATTATACACATATACATTTATGTATATATACATATATATACTTCAACTTCAAATTTAATTGTTTGTCTGTTTTCTCGTTTTCTTTACTTTTTTTCAGTCTTTTGGTCTGAATAACCTACACTAATTATATCTGTGATTATTATTATCTCTTTGCTTTCAAGGATGATACCAAAGGACCGAATAATGTAAAGATCAACTCCATTCACAGTACTAACAAAGTCTTAACACACCACATATAACACATCATTTCTTAAGTCAAACAAAGCCACGACAGTGGAGTGGCGGAACGAACTACGCAGAATTTTATCAAACACCAATAACCTTTAACTCACAATGAATAAGGCAGTGCAAAGAAATCGAATTCGTTTATACTAGATCGTGAAACCATATTGTTTATTGGACTTTCGTTACTTCGTATCTCATCGTCCTGTGCTAGGCGTTCGCGCGCTCTTTGAATCTAAGGTGGGTGGCCGTTGGGATTTGTTTTAATCGACTGACAAACACTGGCTTTGCTATACGACGGCATCGAACCACAGCCACCACAAAATTTTAGGTTCTTACACACTGTTTCATGTTTAATGTAGTCCCGTATTACGGAGAAATCCAGTGTTTTCGGTTATAGAGAGCGTCACAACCTGTGGTTTTATTGGTAGTGACACCTATTCTGTGAAATTTGCAATCACTGCATGTCCTTCCTAAATTGTTTTGCTTATGTCCATAAAAATGGTCAAGGGCTATTTACTTTTCGTACCTACATATAGTCTCAAGCACGATTTCAACATTGTTATGTGTCTTTCACTATGCGACGGGTTTGCTTTTTTCTGCACTAATTTCATGTCATTTCATTGTTCACTCTAGTATTTCGAGAAATGATGGGTGTCACAGAATCTCGGATGTGCCCTGACGATGAGTATTGGCGTCACAATCTAAACCTGGATTGCGATGTTTCAAAAACTGATATTGCGGTTGAGAATTCGTTGCCCAGTAGTGTGCATTCCAACGATGAATCACAATCGGTATGTGCATCAGTTAGTAGCACTCACGTTTACATTGTTCCTAACATATCAGGCAAAGAACGATTTCGAAATGAATCCCATTTCTTCAGAACACCAGTCTGAAATGAATGTGCCTGCTAAAGCATATGAAAAATGTACAGATTCGCCTGCGTTGAGTACTGCTTCATTTTTATTCTGTGATGTCTGTCAAGTACGATTAATGTCGATGAAAAATAAAGAACAACACGAAAGTGGTAGAATGCACAAAAAGCAAATTGAGTTGAAGATAAAATTCAGTGGTCCAGCGGTTCAAAATTCGTCGCCCAGTAGTATACATTCAAGCAATGAATCACAATCGGTATGTGCATCAGTTATTAACACTCATGTTGACTTCCAGAATTCAATTGCCAGCAAAACTGTTGATACTCAGCCCCAACCCACAGTGCGTGATAGGGATGAGGAAATCATACGTCTCCTACGACGTTTTTGCTTGGTCCAAACCTTATCCCTTCTTCAGAATATGGGAGAAAGCTTACTTATTAGTCCAAGAAATTATTTATCTGAAATAGAATTGACATCCGGAACTGATAAACAGGACTTAATCGAAAAGTTGAGAACTATCTGCCGTGATGAATTACGTGAAATTCTATCAGAAGCTTTACCAAATGCTTCTCACCAGTCCAGAAACGTCAACACGTAGTCTGGTAGTCAACTGCAGAAAAGTAAACCTCCTTCAATTATGTAAACAACAATTTAACTCATTCTGATTTTCTTATATATTTTAAAAGAGTCATGATAATTTTCGATCTATAACATTTCACAAATACCGATAAAAAATTTCTAGATATCATTTCTGTTTTGTGAGCTAAAGATAGAGTGTTATTGCTTCACCCATGATTTTGATGCGTTCTAGGCGTTGGGAGCGAAATACATGAGATATTTAAGTTTTAGTCTGTTGTAAGTGTAATTAATTTTCTTCTCAAGTGAGTGTAATATTTACTGATCTGTTAGACAACTAAATCAAGTGGTCCACCGCTTCTTTCTTGTCACTGTCACCGTCTCACGGATTTAGAGTTTGACTCCAAACGATGGAATGATCACTTGATATTGGGTTAGTACGATTCGCAGTATAATTCGTGCTGTCGGGTAGACGTTTAAGCTGCTTTTATAATCATTGTAGTTTCACACACTCAGAGGTTTCTCAGGACCTGTAAAAAAAAATGGAATCGCTTGACACAGCTAATCTGATGTGACTAGGTTTGTGAAAAATTATGACGGGGCTAGCGTGTAAGAAAATAATTTGTATCGGTAGATATCACTGGTTTACTACTTTTGTAGTAAATTATTGGTGGGAATATCTACAAACGTGATTTGATGAATTCCTATACCGGAATTGCATAATAGTTTTGCGAGAAGACGGATTCGGTGGTATGTTTTGTCACTAATAATATATTTTATTATGCATCTTGTCGAACAGAGGTTGACGGTATTGTGTGAAATAAGTTATAAATACCGTTATGAATATGAATTGTGTACAGTTAGTTTCTCTGTTGTATGCGTTTTGATAACGAATAGGTTGGAAAAGCCAGACAACAGACTATGACATGGATCCAGAGGTTTACTACTTTTATGCACAACAGGGTGAGGCATTGATAAGAAAAGATGACAGGTTAACTGAGAATGTGTCGGTCTTTAACACCACCTGGGAATTCGTTCAGAAATGACTTAAGGTATACGATTCATTGTGTTTGTGTTTAGCTCTACGCATTTGTAGGCTAGTCAGTGTGCGATAAAGACTGATGCAAAGGTGCATCTTTGGTTTGTGATCATGACTTTGCTAGGTCGTGTTCAAATGGCTTGGGGAAATATCCAATGTAGTCTCTAGACATTGCTTATACATGTGATGTAAGATCAATATTCTTGGGGTTAAAATGTTGGTAAGGCTGCACGTATTGTTGAGAATACTTCTTTGAGGAGAACAAGTAGTTGTGTAGGATGTTGTAAGTATGATGGAGTAGATTTATAGCTCAGGTGAGTGATATTGATGTAGTTTCGAAGATTTCACTACTTGTGTAGACCTCTTTAAATTGTAGTATGCTGGCTGTGTAGATGTTGCCTCGAAAGACAGTGAGAGTTTCGCTACTAATCCATCCAGCTGAGAGAGGACGACTGCATGAAGGGTTGTAATTGTTTCAAATAGATTGGGGAATCTGGAGTCAATTTTAAGTGTCCTCAGATCGATTTTCATGTTAACCATGTCATGTGTTTTTACCATCTGATTGATTGAATAAGTGAGTTCTACTCATCCACTTCTATTGAACTTCATGTAAATGTAAATGTGATCTTCGCACTGTAATCAGTAAGTGATCACCACTCATTCTCATTGAGCAGAAAAATTAGATGACGTAGTGTATTTTGATTGTGAACTCAGTTGTGTGTGAAAATCTTCCTTGGTCTTTAGGTAAATCAATTTTTATTCCCTTACCACTAATGACTATGAATTTGATCTTGTGTCTGAAACAAGGACGAATCAGCTTTTTCCGGACATCTGGCGACGTCGTGTCAAGTAGAATAGAAAGTAGGATAGCCAGCTTTAGTCGGCACACATTTCGAAGGAGGCAAAAAGAAATTCAATCAAACAGTTATACAAGTAGACAGATATGTAGTGTCTAGTTTCATCGTTAAATGAGCCGGTACCTGCGATATCCTATATGTACTGTAGCAGCCTAAATCTGACTTGTTTACATAAGATATGATGTCTGTTTGAGTATATATCATGACCAACTTTGAATAATTAACGTACTCGCTCATATTAGAATAATAATGCTCAGACACAACACGAAAATATGCAGCGTAAATGAAAGAAACATATCGAGACGGAAATATTTGGAGGGTGAGCAAGGGATGAAACTTAACAGTGTCCAAGTCTTTGTAATAATTAGTGAAGGTCATTTTGTTATTCTGTCAAGAACACTAGTGGGGTTAATTTCAGTGAAGTTAGAGACAATAATTTCTTTATCTAATGCAGTTATTATCATCTGTGTATGTAGGAAGAGTAATAAATGTTATTCCTAGGGTATCTTCAGATTTCTAGGACAGGTGTCACATCGTCTCCGTCGAATTTATTTGGTGTTGACTCGTGAATAAAGTCTTTCCTTCTCCATCTAATTATATCATTTTACCGTCATTGTCTCACTTCCTGACTCATGTTTGGCCAAATGAACTGATTTTGAGCATGAGAAATGAGAATTCATTTAAGGAATAAGTAGGTATGTTCGTGTCAAACACAAAACAGATAAAACTTTCTCCGTGTTCCATTTACACGTGTTGATCAAATAAACTTTTATGGTATGCATTAGGCTTTGCAAATGTGCGTATATGATCCTGAGAGTCATATGCTAGTTTTCCTGTCTATCTCTATAGATGAATTCATCCAGATACAGAGTCAGTATTTGTTAGGAAGAGGCAAAACACATGCAATTATCAAGTTATTATCATGTCGTTGACATGCATTTGTTTCTGCTTTCTGATTGGACGCTTGCACAATTCCAAACTCTCAACCGGATTAGTCGATTTCCAGTCTACCTTATTTTTGTATAAATACAGTCACTTTTGTTATAAATAAATGATTCTGGTTTTACCGCTGATTATCGCGTGTTCTGCTTTACCAGTTAAGTGGGCACTGGTCTGTAGTTAAGCAGTTACCTCGAGACAAAGATCTAGCATCATAACAGTATTCATCTATTAGTCGCTTTCAGATCAGATACTTTGTTAGCGATAGGTGCTTAAAATATCACTTCAGACGCATGCTTGAATATGGCGACCATCTCACAACTGTGCATCGTTAATGTAGTTAGGGTATGCTGAGTGTTTAGTTACATTTAACTATGGATATCAAACCCTACCGAAAGCTGCTACCTTGACGTGGTGGTCGGGCTTGAACACTGCAATGTCCTAACAAGCTATACTGGCCGAGACTAATGTCTCTTGAAGTCTTACCATGCCAGAAAGGTTGTTTGGATAGCGGTTAGACAAAAAGCAGCTACACAATCCAACACTATGATACATACAAACTCACAAAATATCATGCCGGATCGGCCGGGGCAGGGTATTTTGTAAATTATATTATTTTGTCTAATTGGGTCAACTGGGTCCTCTAACCTACAGAGCTTGTCTCTGAGTGAGTTTGTAGGTTCAAATGCCACCCTAATTCCTGCTTTATTTAGAATCCTACGTAGGGTCTCAGATGCCCGACCGAAAGCTGCTACCTTGACGTGGTGGTCGGGCTTGAACACCGCAATGACCTAATCAAGCTATACTGGCTGAGACTTATGTCTCTTGAGGTTCTACCATGCCAGGCAGGTTGTTTGGATAGCGGTTAAACAAAAAGCAGCTACCCATCCAATACCATGATCCAAACAAATTCACAAAATTTCATGCCGGATCGGCCGTGGCCCGGATTAACAACGACCGCGCTTCCTGCTGCCGTGTCACAGGGCGGGAGTGATAAGTATGCTACTGAGGCACACCAAACAAAAAAGAACAAACAAAAACAGGCCGCGTGTGACCGGCCTCAAGCAGTTGTCCCCTGGGCTCTGCGGTCACGCAACCAACTTCCACGGTGTGGGCAGCCGGGAAGTAACAATCGCCCTCACAATCCGAAATGCACACAAAACCTCTCTAATCCTCACTTATCTTTGTCTTCATCTTCATCTCTATTACCTTGCCTTCCTCCACTGATGCAACTCCTCTACTTGATGGCTCCTCACTCCCTCTTCACTCTGTGTCCACTAAAAACGACGAAAGCCAAAAAACCACCACGGATAGTCTCCTAAAGCCACGCCACCAATTTCATATAGGAGCATTTAATGTTAGGACACTTTGCCAAATAGGACAACAAGCATCACTAGCTAAGACCCTGGCATCTCGAGCCATTGATGTATGTTGTGTTTCAGAAACACGCATACAAGACCCAAGTGTGGTTATTCACCTAACCCCACCTGGCCAACAGGATGAATCTTCAAAATTCACCTTGAGGGTGTCAGGAGATGCCACAGCTAGTTCACGAGGATTAGCTGGCGTAGGGATAGCTCTGAGTACTAGGGCAGAAAAGACATTGCTTGACTGGATCCCGGTAGATAGCCGAATGTGTGCTGTCCGTCTGAACGGATCAGTAAGAAGGAGAAAGGACTGCACTACTCGCCGATGCCTTTTCGTAATCTCCGCCTACGCCCCCACTGACTGCAGTTCGGATGAAACGAAGGATGAGTTCTACCAAAAGCTGTCTAGTTTGGTGAGAAAGGCTAAACGCTCAGATATAGTCGTTCTAGCTGGTGACTTTAACGCTCAAGTAGGGAAATTGTGTCAATCTGAGAAGGATGTCGGTGGCACCTATGGAGTTCCGTGCCAGCGAACCGACAACGGTGACCGTCTCCTACAGTTCTGTTCAGATAATCATTTGTTTCTTGTAAGCACTAACTTTAAACACAAGGAGAGACACTGTTTAACCTGGCGACCCCCATCATCAAACCAACGCTGGACACAAATAGACCACATAGCAATAAGCTATCGTTGGCGTGGGTCGGTAGGAGATTGTCGCTCCTTCTGGAACACGTGTGTAGATACCGATCACGCACTGGTCCGGGCTCGTGTGTGCTTACGACTGAACGGACGTAGGAAACAGCTGGCGGTAAAACCATCACGTCCCCAGCTCGATCAGGAAACTAAATCCCTATTTGAGGAAGAACTAGCTAAACGCATATCTGAATTCGACAGCTGTGCTCACCCTGGAGAAGCCTGGAAGAATATTCAGTCAGCTATAGATACAGCTGTAAAAGCTGTGAATAAGGCAAATCCAAAGGT